AGTAATTGAGGTTTTGATGGTATAGAAAAGTCATAGATTCTAATTTTGATGTCATTATTATATTACAAATATTATCTTTTAAGAAATGACTATAAATTATTTTACAATAATAATCCATGAACTTTTTTCATTCACAAGTACTTATTATTATCAACATTTACCACATTATATATTATCCAATACTAATTTCTTTCCCTAAATGTCAGAAAATAGAATGAAGTGGTCCATTTCTAATTTGTTAACACGATGAGGTTTTATTATGTACATTTTTTTTTCTTTTATGGCACATGGAATTTTTTTTGTTCAAATACTTTTGAGAAGAAATTAAAATTATGGACATTTCCAATCCTTTTATATTGAGAACCCATAATGAATAAGTTTAAATCAATTATTATATTTAATGTATTTTTAGTTCCTTATTGTTACGGTTTAGAAAAAAATAACTATAAAATTAGATTCCAAAGGTTATGATAAATACAACACTGTGTATATTTATTATATTAATGTATGCATTTAAACACAGTGAATATAAATATATTCTATCAATGTGTATATTTATTTATTTCCATTAATGATGATAGTAAGAGATTAATTGATATTTTATATCGATAACTAATTTTAAGTATTCAATTAATAAATATAAAATTTTAAGTATTTAAAATATTAAATAAGTTAAATAGAATTCGATTAAAAATATTTAAATTTTGTCATAAATTTAAAATTGAATTAAATTTATTTAGTGATCTAAAGAAGTTCGGATCTAAAATGATACCTAAAATCATTTGAATTACGAGAAAGACGATTACACAAAAATATCATAATTCTTAAACAATTTTTTTTATGATGATTCTATTTTTGTAAACATCATTTGAAAGTTATACACGGAAATTAGACAAAAATTATAGTAATTAAAAATAAACTCAAATATAATTAATGAAAACATATTCAAGTCAATAATAAAACTTTTAAGAAAATTAGAAAAAGACACGTAGCAAAATCTACATTTAATAAATCAGTTACTACAGTAAATACTAACTAGACTGTTATAATTAATTAATAAATAAATTTAATTATGTGACATAATGATGAACATAAATGTAATTTAATAAGATATAAAGATTTATTAATTACCATGATAAATATAATAAATAAAATATTAATCTGAGAGAAGGTAGAATTATCTAGTCATAAGGTGTTCTCTTTGTTAATCATAAAGAAAAACGTGAGGGAAAAAAGAAAAAGAAAATTGGAAATCAGAGTATTTTTCTGAAACGAAATTAAGAAAATTACAAGAAATTAAAATAACTTACGTAGATACCTACATAATTAACTGTTGTTGAAACCAAAAAAAAAACTCTGTATAGTATAGAAGACAGAAACATGAATCATTGAACTTGGATATCTAAGATGTTGGAGTAAGTAGTAGTAGCTTTGGGAATGGCTATGTAGAGAACACCATCCTTAACCTCAGCCTTAATATTCTCAAACTGCACATTGTCGGGCAGAGCAATCCTACTGCTATACCTGCCATAGCTCTTTGCAGACCATCCCTCTTCTTCTTCCTCTTCTGGTTGCCTCGGCCGTTGATCCTGTTGAACAATCTCTTTCTTCTTTGGTGCCTTTTCTGCTTTAACCACAAGCATCTTTTCCTCCACCCAAACTTTCACATCCTCTTTGTTCATCCCAGGCATGTCAAACCTCATCTTGTACTCATTCTCTCCCTCTTTGATCTCCCATGGTGCCCTTCCTCTTCTTCTGTACCCTCCCACACCCTCACTCGGTAAGGGTGACGAAGGCCACTCAAGCGTGCTAAATGCAAAAGGGTCCTCCATCATCCTCTCCATCGTCTCCATCATCTCTTGCATTGTTCTTGCCGTAGGAAACCTGTCCCACAACCCTGTTTTGATTCAATCAACACACGTACATACTCACACAATCAGTGTCAACTACAGAAACAAAAATAATGCTGACTCAGACTAAAACAATAAACCCACAAAACCGATTATTTATACGGTTTGAAAGAAATTCATGTATTAACTCACTACCACAAAACTACAAAACTGAGGTCGATAAATATCATTAGGATTCTGATTTCTAATGTTAAGAAATAGATTTAAACTTAACTTAACCCACAAAACCTGACTTTTTTTCATTCATAAATTGACTTTATTTCGAATTTTAACATTTTTCTAATAAAAGTTTTGAAATTTTAGGTAGATGTTTCTGATAATTTTTGTTTCCTAAAGTAAATTTTCGAAAACAAAATGGAATTATAAGAATAGGTACCTATGGGTGCAGCAGGGGCAACTTTCTTTTTGGGAAGAGGATGGTGGTTCTTGTTGGGTTTTGGGATGTGGTCAAGCTTTTCTCTTGCATCCCCCATGACCATGAACTTCACTGGCTTCAACTGGGTTGGTCTGGAGTGAAGAAGATACCTCGATGTAGGAAGGTTAAGAGTCAAATTAGAGGACAAAGCGTGTGCCATTTTTGAAGAGTGTTGTGTTCTGTCTGTTGAGACCGCAAAACAGAAGAAAAAATTAAGGTTGTTAATATGATGAAGTGGTGGAAGTGTGGAGAAGGTAGGGTTTTTGTGAAGTATATATATATAGAATAGAACTTTGAAGAAGGAGGTGTGGAGAATTCTGGAAAACGCGACATCATGGGTGGGGTCGTGAGAAATGAGCACTGAATGGGAGTATCATTTCGTTTTCCAGAATTTTCCAGAACCAGACATGTTACAGAGGATAGAGGATGGAACCTTTCAAGATTCCAACTTGTTGGATAAGCTTTTGACCACGTTTTCTGCTGAATGAATGAGAGCCCTTCGTGTTCCAAGACCAATCTTAATCGCGGGTTCTTACGTGTCTGTTTACACTCAATGAAGATAGCTCCATACAGTCACTGTCTTATCTGAAACTGACAAATATAAATCCAAATATTCGGATATAATGTAGTGGTGGCTATTCAAAGATGAGATTAAGAAATTATGTTTATTAATAGTATAATGTCGTGGTGGTTATTGGAAGATGAGATTAAGAAATTATGTTTATTAATACACAGAAACATGTGAAAAAAAAGTACAGGCTTGTTAAATTTTCTTATTTCTCTGAATAAATCATTTTCAAGATATTAAATCTTATGTTTTGTTTATGGACAGAAAATATTTTATGAATGTGAAACTAAATTTACAAAAATTAAAACATATATTTAATACTAAAATTTGGAAAAAAGAATAATTTATATATTATTTTATATACGTGAAAAAAAAAAAACTAGTAGATCAAAGTCTCCCTAACCATTAAAAGACTAGATTATTTTGGCTTATGTGAAAAACTGATT